GTCCTTGAAAAATCTGATAGTCATATTCGTATCAAATGCATAAAACTAATTTTACTTATAGCAACAATAAAAAAAATTAACAAGAAAGTTTGTTAGTCTAAATTCCGTAGAGAAAATATTATTAGGATCAGTTTTTGAAAATCACTTTGATTTGATTAAAAACAATGTCTTTGCATTTCTCCGAAAAAAATCGACTATAAGATAATTATTTCCACAAAAAAGTAACGTATTCTTTACGCTCATCTGTCTAATTATCTACCGAACGAACTAATCGTCCAAAGACGACATAAGGATACCGAGCGAAAAGAAGCTAACGGATTCGTACAGCTTCAGCATTATTTTCACCTTTTCGTAAACTCACGTTCACGCAATTTCGAGGGACCGGGCCCGTGGCCTGAATAGGGATGACACGGTTAGGGGTAGCGGGTTACCCCTAAAAATCCAACCAACCCTCTGCCTCGCAGCCGCGCGCTCGCGTGCACGGGATACCCGCTGTTTTATTTCTCGCTTTTTTTTTCTCTCGAATCTAACACGCCGCTTTTTTGTATCGCGCCGCCGACACATGTGCAACGCCGCCGACTCTTTGCCGATCTGGGTAATGAGTCGAGCAAAAATTGCCACTACAAAACGCGCGCTGGCGTGACTCGTGAATTGTGGCCGGCGTAAATTCGGCTTTTCATCGAGAATCTGTTTTTTCAATTTTTTCCGCAATAGGAAAGGCGATGAGTTTTTCGAATGTTTAGACGTGCGCGTGACGATAATCGATTTCATTTCGCAGAAAGAGAAGATTGTGCATCGACATTTCCGTTGCACATTTTTATTGTGTCGGATTTTTTTTATTGTGTCGAGTGTTTTCATTATTTCAAATGTCTTAGAAAAATTTAAATTTTTTATGGATATATTTTATATATCTGTGCGATATTCTCTGCAATCCCTTAGCTTTATTAATATTGTATGTAAACATATTTTTTAAATTTAGATTTTATATAATAATATACTTTGCAAAGCGAAAATAGTTTCATTGTAAATATGACTTAGAAAACATGTCTAAATATATCTACAGACCACATTTGGGTTACATCACGCAAAATCGCTTACCAGTCATGAATCAGCAATAAAATTACCAAGCAAAAGAGTCGATTATTTGACCGCGGTAAGATCGCGAGGCAAAGATCAGCGGAAGATCGTGGCAAAATCCTTCTTCTCTGCGCCGAGATCTCAAATTTACACGGCGGCGTGCACGATCGATTCTCTCCGTCGCGCAACGCTTGAACGAACCCGTCCGGCTCTCGCCGATGGAACAAATTACTATAGATATTACACGCCGCGGAATCGCCATTGAAGTCTCTCGAATTCTTCTTGCGCGTCATTTCTTTTTCCACGACGACAACTTTGGCGACGACGCCCGTCAAGAACCGTTAGAAACCGCAGAAAAACTGGAGCGTCCGCGTAAAACGAAATGCGGTTTCATCGACTTCACGCCTCGGCCACAATTTTTTTCGCTAGTTATTGTTTGGAAGGTCAGTGACGATATTCCTTCTGTGTCTTTTCTGACTGGCGCTTTAAAGTCCTATTTAATAAAGAATATTACAAAACACGAGAAGATACTGTTAAAAATTTTGATTATCCTGCAGATGTGTTGTGCAAAATATTTATATTAATATTTTAACATTAATATTATGTGTTGTTCAAAATGTTAAAATATTTTTGTATTAAAAAATTAATGTTAATATATATAATATTCAATGTCACATATTTATAATGATTAAACGTTAACAATTGTTATAATAATATTTAAGATATCTAAATTACACTGCACGGAATCGAATACAAAATCACGCGACGCGAAAGGATACGTGGCCTTACTGGCAACATACTGAAGCTTGACGAGTTCGTCGTTCTGTATATGTGATCGGAGGGTTGGGTTATTATTATTTAAAACAACCCTTCGAACGATCGTACAGGAGGTAAAAGCCTCGAATCAGGGGCTGTAGACTGGAGAAAGGGGGAACTCTAAAAAGTTGGAAGGGTAAACGGGGTTTTGGGTCCAGGTGCCAGCAGCCATCGAGGGTTAAAAAAGAGGGTACGCGAAAGGGGGTTTTTCTCTTTTTCTTTATCTTTTATTCTTCCCGTGATAAAGGGGAATCTGGAAATGCAACGAGATTCATTCAGTAACGAAGAACCTTTGAAATCTTCGAAATTTTTATAATGTACGAATATAAAAAACTAATATAAGAACATATTATTGTTTGTATATATGTATATGGATTTAATTACATATTATTTAGCATACTTGTTACCCACATAAAATTACATTTTATGAAAAAAAAATTGAGCACTATAATTTAAATATATGTAATATCATATATTTATAAATGCAAAATTAAAAACTATCGATTAGATAATTATCTAATTAATAATGTTAGATAATCATTAATGTCTCATTATTGATATTAGATAAATTATTCCTATAAATAACAATAAAATTATAATTGAAATATAATAATAAAAATATAATTTAATGTTAAGATAGATAAAAATATACAAAATAAATAAATACGAAAGCATCTTTTGTTCTCCTGTTCTTATCCACATAATAAATTGGATAATTCATTTCTAAAATAGTAATTTTAGAAAGAGAACTAAGATTCTTAATTTTGAAATTTACGATAAGTACATGAAATGTCTTCAAACGTTTCAAAAAATGTATTATGGATATAAAGTTGTTTGATGTGCTTCAAGTAATTGTCGCAAAATATATAGAAAAGATACGAAATTTTAAATATGAGAAAGTAATATAGTCTCTGTCCATCTAGTGGCGTAAAAAAAAATTTTTGACTGCTTTACGCTTTCCTATGACCTATATATTACGCATGTATATATGCTACTATAAATATTAATTGATCATTATATATATTTACCAATAAAATTAAATGTAATAAATAAAATATATTTAATTTATCAAAATCATTGTTAATTATGTATAATTGCCAAATTAACAAAAAATTTCCATTATATATATATAATAATAATTTATCCATAAACACATTTCGTACATTTATCTTCAGATTTTACAATTATCAACTTTTGTGTAAACTGTTGTGTAGAAAATGAAAATTATTTAATTCCTAAATTATAACTGTACGATATTAATAAAAATAATTATTTAGAGAATAACACACAAAATATTAATACTTATATACATTGCGTTTATAATAAAATTCGAAGAAATTAAATAGATTTTGTCATTTTATTCCCCGTGAGCAATATTTAATTAAGTTATATATCTTGATGATAAATTATATCTTGATAATCATAAACAAATAAATCTGATTTTAAATACTTTAGTTACAGGCAAGTGTATACACGGAGAATGCCTACCCCCATCTGAAGTTGCATTGTGTATCGAAGCATATTCGGAACACGTGGTTCCCTTTAGATATGCATATAACTTCAAATGGGGAGGGTCATTCCTGTTCTCGTGGATACCTATTATAAAATTAAGAAATTTAATTTTAAAATATACTAAGCGTTTTAACAAAGAACTACATTTCAAAAAATGTTATATATATTTATTGAGTATTGCTTATAAGATGTTGAGTTATTTGGATCATATATAAAGAGAATATAAAAAAATTTAAATGTGAGAAACTATTTATACATTTGGCCATCTAGTGGATGGAATCATTTACTTAAATATGTGGCTCTCTATGGTCAGACGCCAAAGACATAAGTAAAAGATACTCAAATATCAAGATAAATTATCTTGAAGAGAAAAACATATAAATTTGGAATCTCTAATACAAAAAAAAAATAAAAGGAACAGAAAATAAAAAGAGGAATATTGTAATTGTTATTTACACATGTTTATAACAATCATAATCACAAGTTAACTTTTCTTTCAGTTTGGGTTTTTATTGCACATTTAGACATATTAAAAAATAGATTAAAATAAAAGAGATTAAATTAAAAAATTATATCAGTTAATAAAGTTCGTAGGCATTGAAAAAAGTAATTTCTTTTTAAAGTTAAATAATAAGCAATAAAGCAGACTGATTAATAGAATACTATACAATATATGAAAATTAAAAAAAAAAAGGAAATTTTTCACTTTTGATGTAGCAATACGTTCTTTAGTAAAACGTCCTAAAAAGTATATAATGGATATGAAGTGGTTTAATGTAGCTGACACGAACGTCACAGATATGTAATATAAATATACGATCTTTAAATACTAGAAATATAGTATTCCTTCATCTAGTGGTGCAACATGAAATTTTCGATTGGTTTAATTTTTTCCTATATAAATACATTTATTTTTTATTTTAAAATCGTTTAATTTATTATTTTAAAATTGTTTTAACACCCAAAAATTATAATTAACATAGAATATACATATAAGGAAACGTGTGGAAATTTAACTGCAAAACTAATAAAAATTATTCGCAGCTTGGGCCATTTAGCAATATATAAATATCTAATAATTTGAAATAAGAAATGTGGCCGTTTTAAAAGAATAATCGCCTTCGATATCGAAATTTATACGGGCAGAAACAGTCAAACTATAATAACAGCTAACAGTCTCACAAGTCCGAACATTACGAAAAGAAAAGAGAAATGATATGGTTAGATATCCCTAAGCTTGAGCAGAGAAAAATGAAAAAGGACGACGAACAAAAGGAAAGAAAGACGGAAAGCACGAAAAAGGAGAATACCGAAGTCGTTAGCCGCATGTGTGTCGCGACATTCCGACGATCGCAATTCAAAGACTTTTTTCTCAATTTGAACTCCTGTCTTCCTCCTCGCGAGCTACATCCGTCAATTTTCCGACGTGACATTCGCTTGCGAGTGTGCATAGGTGCACACGCAGCGGATTGCGTTTATAAATATATAAAGTGTAAACTTTAAGCGCGCGGGAGAAGCGCGACGCGCATGGTAGCAACGGCTACCAGGTCATCGCCACGAATTAGTTACGGTGAAATATAATGTAACCGGTCTACCTGCGCGACAGAGCGAGATGTTTTTATTTCAGACCCGCGTCAGGTAGCTTAAAGATGTTTAGCCGATCCGAAAGGTCGTGTGGTCGTGACTACGAGGATGGTTGATGCGTCTAAACCCGATGCACCGCCGCCGCCGCCGCCGAGGGGAACCGGAAGAAGGAGGCGATGTTCAATTGCGAGAGAGCGCTGTGGTACGCGTCCACCGAGAATCGCGTCGGTAAATGATATTTTTGGTAGAGCACCATCTCCCGCCCGAGCTGTGTACCTTTATCGACCTGTTGGTACAGACGCTCGCTGTACGACGCGTACGAGCATCGGCTCAACAGCTGATTATGTTTACAAATGGAATAACGCCAAGTTCTAGAGCGAGGAATTGTTTGTGTCGTAGAACGTGGAGCAAGCACATTGTGCCTGCTTTTTATGCATTCATATAATAATTATTAGGGCGCGGATGTTCGAGATTTTCATGGTGAATAGCTTTATTCGGGTCATCCGAGATGCATGGCCAGTTCTTCTGATAACGAAAATAGTAGAGTGAAAGAATTTAGGTCATCAAGGTATGCGAAAAACAATTGCACTTGCAAAAAACAATTAGATTGTCTCAACGCGTCTCATTGTCAGTCCAGTTTTCTGTCTGTTATAAAAACTTCATGAACTTATGCATTCCGATAATCATATATGTATAAGTATCTACGAGTATGTAAGTAAAAGAAATCAATGATTTAGGTATAAATGCAACATACAGTGATAAATAATAAATATATCGATAGAATAAAAGTAAAATATTTTGAAAGATAAATAAAATCAATAATCAATAATATAAGAATAAAAAATTAGGTAAAAAAATTGATGTATCGAATAAAATTTAAAAAATAATGAAACAATTCAGGAGAGAAAAATAGACGTTAGAAATGTACAATGTATGTATATACATAAATAATAACGTTAATTGTCGATTATCTTTTGAATCAGCATTACGGTAATCTAACCCACAAAACATCCAAAAAATGTAATGGATATAAAGTTGTTTGATATCAATGGGTATAACTCATCAGAAGAAATATTAGTGGTAAACGTTATTTAAATATGAGAAAGTGCTGTTGTATTCATCCATCTATCGTCAGAATATCGCACTTTCTTAAATTGCATTTTTTGTATTTCAGTAAGTATCTGTCTCTGATACACATCTCTGAGCGGGCTGGCAAGGC